GAGCGGCGATCCCTTTTCTTGATTCCAGATAAGACTCTAGCGAAGTGCAAGCAAGGTGACTCACATAATTATGTTTACATATTTTTGCAATTAATATAAAAAAGCAAAAGAGTATATGTGTTCTAATTCCATTGATCCAAGTTAATATTATACCAACAAAGTTGGCTTTTATGAATCTTACGTCTAGTGAATTTACGGAAATCAGGAATACCGAGTATTACCCAAGATGACTAAAAAATGAATACAAGTTTTATAATATGCATAAATTAAGACACATTAGAAAAAGGGCATTAGTTAAAAGCTAAAAATGTTCAAAGCCGTAGACATTATGATTATGCGAATGTATGTATACCTATTTGTACGTTACGGAGCAATATTAATTAATTTTGTTATTATTATATTTTTTTAAGACAAATTTACTAAGCAGTGTTGCCAGTAAAACTTTTCTGGCTAGATTTTGCCGGTTGCGATAGCTAACAACCAGAGAAAATTCGATTTAGCCGGCATCCGATTTGTTAGCCGTTTTGCCAAAAATAGTTACCCGTTTTTAGCCGATTTGGCATTTGCCTTTTACTATTTCATTGACCCAAAATTGATTAGAAATGGCTAGCCTTATCTCGGAGAAAATTTTCATGTCGAAATGTGATATTTAAAATTGAAGGGCAATTTTTTCTAATCCGAGAAGTTTTAAAATACTGGGCAGATTTCAATGATTTTTATTTTAAGGAGTAATATACTGTGACCCAAACATAAACAGGAGCGCGACATTTTAGCGAGTTTTGACTATTTTTCTTTAGTTCATTTAATGCTTATTATTATTATGAAATTATAGCTGATTACTTAACAAACGCCCTTTAAATGCAAATTTCATACTTTTGTGTAAAAATTATGAAATTCTGGAAATTTTACTCAATGTTTTTAACTTTTTAATCAGCATTTTTAGAAATTTAAAATTTTAGTATAATAAAGTGCAAATTTAAAGTACTTTGCAATTACCGGCGATTTTGGTAAATTTTTTGTTGCCTTTTTTCATATAAATAACTTGTCGAACATACTGTGTATGGAAAAAATGCGTAACACCGTCATAAATCAACGTTAGGTCCTAGCTAGTTCAAAATTGCACCATACTCATTTAAAGTTTAATAGACCAAAAAGCTGCATATCATAATTTTTTCTAAAGATATTGAATAAAATTTTAAATTAAAATTTTTGGTGAAATTTTGCAGAATTTTCATAATTTTTGTTTATTGAGTAATCAGCTATTCTTTCATAAAAAAA